TTGAGTTGAGGTGATCAGACATTTCCGCTTCCAAGGTCGATTTGCAACAATTGCTGATTCTGTATTGTGGGGATCCGTTTTCGGTGACTTTTCTGCAGTTGTGTACCAGCTGATGGCGATGTGATCGACTTAAGTCCATCGATGTAAAGTGGTTGGCGATTTCTATATATTTCTGTCTTTTCTTATGAGAAAAATGACGTTTGACAGGAACAGCCCGGGATCAACGCAGCGTTGCCATAGGCGTTCCTTCAGTCCGTCCGGCTGCTTGGGATAGCATATGAACCACTACGACGTCCGGTGACAAACCAATATGCAGCAGTTGAGAGAGGTCCTTGTAGAATTCATCCTACATTTCTGGTGCGTTGGTTGTCGGTCCGCTTATCGGGATCGGCCCTTGACCTCATGAACCCAAATGAGATAGGCCAAATGCGGACGGGACAGCACCTTATTGGCTGAGAACTGTCAAGCTTGGGCGGGCGGTAGTTATCCAATGAAGTGCGGAGACTTCTCCCATTGTCGTAAAGAAGCCCCAGGTACCCCGCTCCTACGCCCATCTAGCGGTTTTTTGATCGGTAAACTGCCCTCCCTGTGTTTATTTGCTGGAGTGACCTCGTCAGGGGTGGGTGTGGATAGAAGAAGGAAGCGAGGTGCCAAAGCAGCTGATCTTGTGAGACTGAGCTTTTTCCGCCCATTGACTGTCGACTATCGTCTCTGTGTCAACTTTTCGTGTCCATTCATTTCATCAAAGTAACATGTTTGTGATGCGCAACCGGCTTCGTCAAACTGTATTGGGTCGGCGACAGAGTGATTACCGTTAAAAATGTATTTTATAATGGAATTTCTGATACATCATACAGAAAACGGAATGGATAGAAGGGTCCTTTTCGGAAAATATACAAAAGTGTAATGGAATGGAGGAAGTGCATAACCATCGGTAAGTTGAGAGAGAAATGTAAAATGAATCAGATCTCAACGGATATAAATACCAAAAACCGCTATCAAACTCACTTCTAGAGTGTCCTCGAATTGTGGCCCATGAACCAAACAAATCCCGGGTAGAGAATCGCTAGAATCCGGTGAACGAGCCAACTTGGCTACACGATTAATGCCCGTGGGATCCAAATAAGGCAGTACAACTAACTGAGTTGACAGCAGATGAGAAACATGTCGATCCAGCATATTTAGACCTAGTATAATGAAAAACAGAACCGAACAGAACAAAATCGCAACGAGTTACACTCAACAGATAGAGTTGTCAAAAACTGCAATCACCGTTGGAATCACTGTGGTGATCGACGAAAAATAGTTTAAGATGTAACAAGAAGAACACACAATAAGAAGCAGTATTAGAAAAACACCTGTCACCAGTTGATAAGAGATCACCAAGACAATGTCTAATTTGTTTAAGGATAGAACACACAATAGATATCACACTAGAGTCAAAGCAGAAACCAAACATGGTGTCACACTGCATTCAGATGGTTAAATTATTGTAATTTTCAGGTTAGAAAGCAATCATCCGGATTACATAGCTATGTTTTCAATCTAAAGAACTAATGCAAAGAACAGCCAAATGGAGGGTAGTCTTCCCAAGTCGTTCAGTCCCAAATACCGTGATTCTCAATACGTAATATGTGAAAAGAAAGGTCTGCGGTAAAACAGAAAACACGTAGGGATTTCTCACACAGCAATCGAAAAGGATGAAAACTGATGATAGAACGAAGTTCCCAGTTGTTCTTTAACCTAGCAGGGGCAAAGGAGAAACCAAATAGAAAATATTTCACAAACTAATCGCTCCATGAAAACAGATAAAGTTGGTCAATTTGCATGACCGAAATGGCGTTGGGAGGGAGAGGAGACGTAGCCTCAACGCAATCCTACCCAAAGACTGCACATCAGGGATGGAACATGCTGCCGCCATGGGGAATTTCAGTAAACTATTAGATTTTACCCGAATAACCGGTAGGAAAGTTTTAGATGTGAGCAAAACGATCTTATGAAGCTGCCGGCTCGCATACGTATAATCAACAGCGACGCCTTGCACGGTGGGCGGTGTGTGAAGCACAGTTAAGCTGGTCACCAGCATCAGCTTTCATACAGCTACTTCGACACGCATCCCATGGTCTGTTTCAACAGAACCACCTAATAAGCTGGCAATCTGTAAGGAGATCCAAGAGTTGCGACGTTATAAAGCGCCGGGATCCGATGGCCTTCATCCAACTCTATTTGAAGACAATGGACGACACATTCGTCATACTCAGCGCTTCCAAGAGCATGTGCCTGGGGTCAACTTCAAACGACCGGAGGAGAAAGATGGAAAATTTTCCTTCCTCGATATTCTTATCATGAGACAACCTAAAAGCAGAATAGAGACCAGTCTACCGAAAACCGGCTACGACAGTTCGCATCCTCAATAAAAAAGCAATAATCCCCTGTGTCACCCGAAATGTTGTGGGTGAACGCTATTCCGCCGAGCTGACACATTGCAGCACACCGGAAATAATGACAACAGTGGGGTCGACTCTCAACTGTTCTTACCTAACGCATGGCCCAGGAGCTCTATCAAGGTGTGCATCAAGAGTACAAAATAAAAAAGCATGCAAAAGAGGGAATCCGGAAGATATAACCCTTCATGTGCGGCATGTCAAAAGCCACTGAATGTATACTTCGACCGTTGGGAATCAACGTAACCCATAAACCAGTAGTAAATGTGAGATTGTTCCTCTTCAACGGCAAGGATAGAGTCGAACAGCGCGAACCATCAGGTGTAACCTACGCAATCCCGTGCCTGGGCTGCAGCCAACACCTCATAAGTGAGACAGACAAACAACTAGGCACTCGCCTGTACGGACACAAACTTGATCTTCGACGCGCTCACCTGCGGTCACAAACCTGGAACGGCTGAGGTGAAAGCAAGGACGCAGAATGTGTCACTGGAATTTTTGGTTCATGGATGCTTTTTGCATTTGCCGTGCCTTGCAGGTTGTCTGGAAGGCCCCTCCACGGAGAACCCACAGTTAGAGTTACCCTACCTGTGTTTGGAGTATCGCTGAGTGGTCAGGGATTGTGTGGCCTTCTTGAGACGACGCTAGATGCACAAGAACTCGAGCTGCGTTGCCCGGAGTCAACCCGCCAGTGTTTCGAGCGAATTCAGATCTGGAGTAGATCCTGCATACTACACCACTGTGCACTGATAGATCACGAGATCACGACTGATAACGCGAATGTGGTGGCGCGAGCTAAGAAGAGAAGGAAACGATTAATTCTTGAAGCTCTATACTAGGTCAATTCGTTCAACCGACATGTCGAGATAGATAAACGTTACGTCGCACTCGCAAAACCCCCGGCGACACATATGCATATGTTTTCGTCGCTATATATATATATATATATATATATATATATATATATATCACTGCAACATAG